TACCTACAAGCAAGTTAATAAGTCTATCCGTCCTTAAATTATTCATTTCATCTGATAAGGGCTCCCCATAACTTAATTACTCATATACTACGTCTCCAACCCAGAGCTAGTGCGATTAATAGTAAGAAAGCTATACAACAATGAGAATATTTATGTATTCTAAATGAAGCCTAAAAAGTCTCTAGTGTGCGTAATATTAATGCCGCAGGCCGCTATGACTCGCATCTCATTGAGATTAGGGTTTCACCACATTCGGGGTTGTCATTTGTTTTCACTGGACACAGATAACTGCTTCCGTTGACTAAATTAAGTGTTTAAGACTGGCGGTAATGAATGTTAGTTGTCTCTGTCATCCCATATCCCCTGATCATTGATTTGAAAAGGGTTTTGCGTTAACGTTTCGATATGAGGTAGTTCTTTTTCATATGTAGTAAATAATTTAATGTCATTTAACCGCATGTTCAGAAAACGGGAGTCTGATAAAAATTTAGGTATTCTTGGATAGCAATAGTTAATATTTAGGTTACATATAAGCTCACTGTTAATGAAACCTGACTTGGTTGTATCTATCACTTCAAATGTGCTAGGTGTTCAGTTTACTCCACAACTTGTTCATCGAGTTCGGGTTTCCGCTCCACATCCTGAGCCGTTTATTATGTAGAAGCTTGCAATATTATCTTGACGCCCGTAGTGAGGTACTATGTGTTAAACTCAAAGTCGTTAAGAGGCGACTGTCAGCTTTCCGCGATTTATGCTCCTACACTTCATTCAGTTCGTTTCAATATAGTTGTTTATTAAAAGATAGCTTTATAATGTTGTTACCGACCATTTTACATGTACAGCTTAGTAGTTGCAATCACTTTGACTTTAGCATCATTTATTCAGATGTTGGTTGTTATAGATATTTTCAACGTTTTAAATACATCAAAAGCTGCTGATTGAAAAGTTTTAATATAGCAATATTCCTTTACTGTAAGGTCTGTACTTCTCCTTTAGACCATACTATGGTATAATTATTTGAATACTTTACTCCTTTTCTTATTACACCGATCTCCTTAGAGGTATACTAGGGTTTGTTGTGTCCATAGAAATATATATATATATGAGTTAAGAGGGACCTCAGGTGTGTGTTCAAGGACGTGTACTAACTTACGAGTTGATCACCACTTACGGTCAGTCGACAGTTTCTTACGTTCTATCTAGAAAATGTGGAGTTCGCCTCCAAAGTGATGCTTAAATAAAATAATATTTTAAACCAGTACATATTTCTCATCGGGACATTGAAAATATGATTTGTATTATATATTACATAGTCTCAGTTTGATTAGCAACACTGTTGGTGTATCCAATCATAATATCACTTAACAATAGCCCATTATTAACATGCGTAACAAATCATTTTATTCTTTATCGTGTTGTAAATACTCAACAAAACTTTTTGATTTTCTAAATATCGCATCATGTTCATCTTAATTGCGAAGTTTTTCCAACATAGCGCGAGCTTAATTTTGCATGTTACTATTCAAGCATCTACGCTATTCTACATGTTTCTGTGAACACTTATACTTCGTGTCGTGTAGTATACACTTATTGTTCAATTATGGAAGTATTGTATAACATATATGAAGCATGTTATCGCGATCTACTAATCTTTACTATTGTTCAGATTAATTCTTAGTTGTCATAATTTTATTGTTCTTTTCGTAGCACGAACACTTAAAATGCGCGGTCAAGCTTTTGTTGTCTTTGATGATATCAATAGTGCGTCCACATCACTTCGGGCAATGCAAGGCTTTCCACTGTATGAAAAACCCATGCGAATACACTTTGCCAAAGTTGATTCAGATGTCATTGCTAAGCGTAAAGGCACATTTGTACAACGACCGAAAGCTGCATCAAGAGCAGCAGCTGCGGCCGCTGCTGCTGCTGCTGCCGAAGCCGCAGCTTCTGCTGCTGCAATTAATTCAGCCGGTCCACAAGGAGGCACTAGTGCTAGAGCTATCCGTAGAAGACAACAAAGAGCTGCAGCAGCCGCTGCTGCAGCTGCCGCTGCAGCTTCGGCCTCAGCTAACAACGATATCACCAACGAAACAAATTCTAATGGTGTCGATCAAACTAGTAGTTATCGTCCTCCTCCACCACCACCGACTGTGAATCCAGCAACTATTCCAGATCAACCACCTAATAAGATTTTATTCTTAACTAACTTACCGGATGATTCTGACGAAGCAATGTTAAGTATGCTCTTTGGACAATTCACTGGTTATCGAGAAGTTCGTATGGTTCCAGGAAGACATGATATTGCTTTTGTTGAATTTGGTAACGAGGTAGAGGCATCAGCTGCAAAACTTGGCCTTCAAGGTTTTAATATTCGACCCGGCCAAGCTATACGTATTACTTTTGCGAAGAAATAAATGGATTTTGAAACAAAATTAGTTCATTCATTTTAACTATGAGTTTCTTCAGTCTTATTACTTCATACGTGTACATGTTTACAATTTTCAATAAAATTGAAATTCTATTCGGTCTTTAAGATTCTTCTTTCTCATACAAATAATTGATATTATCTGATTGTTGAAGAAATGATGACGTTTACTGTTGTTTTTCCTTTCTAACTGATTGTATTTGTATAGACTTTTGCTTTTGGTTTGTTCCGTATGAATAGTTTATATTGAACGAACCTTTGTGTATAACATTAGTTTAAATGTACTAAACACTAGATAAGTAGAATATTTTGTCATTATTTTTCATTGCCTTTACAAATCAGTCCAAATGTTACAACTGATCCCATGTTTACTCGTACTTGTCATTTATAAAAAATTCCAAAGTAGAAAAATGGATTGATTTTGTGGTGCGTAGGTTTTAAAGGCACTTATGTCACTGAAAAAAACTAAAATGTTAATTTAATCACATTCATTTGACTACTTTGCCATCGTAATCCATTTCTTAAAACGGTCATCCAATACTTTGTTAGGTTGTGTGAATAGAGTACTGAGCAATATTGATTCAGACTTCACAGCTGACGTAACTACTTGTAACCACCATATCTACATTTTTGTACATACGGGACTTGTCAAGTTGTGTATGGTGTTTAGTGACTGGAGGTAATCTATAGGAATTATTGGACCCAGAAGTAATGCTATCTGTCGCCTAAACGAGGGACATCTCCAGTCTTGGAGTATCTTCATGTCACAATGTAGAACTCTGAGTCAATCATAAAGTGAACATCAGTCTCCCTAAGACTGAAGATACACCTTACTTAAGAGCGTTAACTGTCTTATAACCTATATCCAGTGCTTCCTTCAAGTTGCCTCCAATATCAAAGTAAAATGCACTGTGAAATCGATTAATTTTGACGATTATCAACATTGGAACCTGGCCGACAAAATTCATTGAACACTCACTACTAGATCCATGAAGTCACTGACAAGTGGACTGAGTCATGTTGGTAGGTGTAGACTACCTGGTTGGGGACCGCGAGACGATAGCAACCGATGGTTAGAGACCTTGAATGACATGGCTCAAAATCGTTTGCAATGGCGCAGGTGCATCCACTCTTTGTGTTCTCTCAAACTCTAATCTTCTGAATTCTTCATGTCCTTTATTTTCTTTCCCAATTTATTCCACTGGACTATACTCCTTTAATAACATCATCAAACCTTAATGTCCCCTATCTCTACTTATACTTTCAGTACCTCTACCACTATGGGATTTGAATCGATAACTGAATCTCTGTGCTAATGTGGTATGGCAACTCGAACTGATGTACGTGCGTACGAAGTTCCACGTTGTTACTGACTGACTGACACTACTAGATAAAATGACGTTGGTTACTGCTAAATAACTAATCAGTCTAAGCTGTGCAAGCATGTCCGATCTTTAAGTAGTACTATTTGATTGTTACAATTACTCCCTAGAAACCTGAAACTAGTCTAAAGTTTATTCTTCCGACTACAACTTGTATGGTGAAGCGGTAGCTCAGTAGTATTAGTGTTTAACTTTCAGTTATTCAGTCGCCCATGGGTTCAAATCCTCCTCCACTTCGTTTTAGGAAGCTGAATCATGTCACTAGCCGCCTCCGAATGTGATTGGAATTCAGTAGCATAAATCTGTACTCGGATTATGAGCTATTATTAATGATCTATAATAACCTTTATTTATTTTATGATTATTTGTTTGGATGGATTAAAGCTTGATTTGTGCACGTTATGCGGTAAAATTGCGATTATTGTAGCCTGGTTTCTACACGGTAGTTTTCTGTTTGTACATTTTCAGTCCATTAGCATATGTTTTGATCATAGTAAAAAACAATCTCGTCAAAACATACAAAAACAGGCCTATGCAGAGGTTCCATTTTCGACAGACTAATTAAAGTACAAAAACGCATTTTCCAATCAAAAAGCAAACCTATAAAAAATTACCCTAATTTCACTTCTAATCTGACTGTACTGATAATAACTGTAACATATGATATTTCATAGTTCACATCACTGACTGACTTTAGACAACTATTCTAAATTAGGCAACACTAGACTGCTATTTCGTTCTCATAAAAATCCTCAGACAGTTCATGGTGTAAACTTTGAAACTCAAAAATCAAAAGATACCTCACACTGATTATATATATATATGTATAATATCAAGTTCTACCGTTTTCCAGAATGTAACACTTCAATTCATTCATTATATCCCTTCTTTATTTTCATACATATACGGTATGCATGTGTGCGTGCTCGGATTCGATAAATATTAGTTCTATAAATGGATATTCGACCAAATCACACGTTGTATGTGAATAATTTAAATGATAAAGTAAAGAAAAACGATTTAAAAAAAGCACTATATTATATATTCGGTCAACATGGTCGACTAATTGATATTATAGCTATGAAAACAATGAAGATGCGCGGACAAGCATTTATTATTTATCAGGATATTGCTTGTGCGACTCAAGCTTATCGTTCATTACAAGGATTTCAATTATTTCAACGAGTAAGTTTATTTTGTTTAGTCCTACTGCATGTATACATTTGTATACTTATGCAGTGTTGTGAAAAAATTGAAGCTATAAATTGATAATATTTAATATGTAGCTATCAATGGAGTTTAGGACACACATTTTGTCCTGTCTGCAGATCATCAGCTGGGTGTACTTAGATTCCGGTGTTGATGTTCACACTGACTCAAACTCTGTACTTTTCTTTTCGAGTGATTATCATGTTATCCATTGAGCTAAGTTCAACGATCAACTCAACAATTCAACAGGTATAAATGTATCAGTAAATGTGTATGATTTCATGTTGTTGATACTCAGGGTCGCGATTAATCTTTCTCTAATGTGTGCATCCTTAGCGGGTTGCCGCGATGCAACTTGATCACAGGTTTCAGTATACGTGTCATTTGACAGTCTTGAATATCAACAATGGAAGATTACGGCTTTTTACTAACACTACTCAATACTTTAAATAAAATTAAGCCTTACATTACTCAGTAGCCAACTTGTGGTTCATGTATTAGACTTCGAGTCACATATTTTCTTGATAGCTAATGAGACCACAATTGCTACCACTGCCTATCTACGCGATGTTCAAGTTTATAACCACTGACCGAAAAACTCATCCTTTGTCTACTAAGCAATTTTAATCGATCATTTTGAAAATTTAAACCTCACTTTCTGTACTTTGAAGAATTTCCCCACTACTAAATCCATCGTAATAATTAATTATTTCCGCCTAGTTATACATCAAGTAACAGTTTGTCTAAGTTACAAGATTTCACACAACTTGGCGAATGCACCGGGAACAAACATATTCGTTAAACATATACATTGAAATAAAATAACCAGTTCAATATGGCTGGATGAATCGTAATTGCACCAATCAAGTAAGAAAGTGGATATTCTAAACGTTCCAAAAGAATGAACGAGAAAACTTTGCAATAAATTAAGTTACTTATAAGTAATATCGTCAAAAAACATGACAAAACAATACGAATAATATGATCTTGTATATGGGGTTAAGTTCCAATCGTGTTAGATATGGTGAGGTTTCATATGCATTTATATACATATATATACACATATATATCAATAATTTGTCTACATTATTATTCCGTCCCGAGTTATAGCTTCCTATTCACTTTTAGGCTGCTTAATCATGTAACTTATTGTGGTCTAATATAGGAAGTGTTATATGTTTGTATCTTTTTGGATTACTACAGAGCTGAATATATATCAAGTAAAGCGCTTTTGAAATAACACCTACTACCCTTTGTGTATTCTAGAGCACAACTGTCTTCCTAACTTTTTAAATACTTTTCTTATTAAGTGATTTCCATATACTCTTTCCGTATACTATGTAATCTCGAGCATTAAGTACGGTGAATGTATATGCTAGGCGTATTAAGTTTAGAAGCTAATCGAGTAGTCATATTTATCATGGTAATGTTGTATTATATAAATGATATAAAATCCACACCCTTCCTCTTCATGCTCTTTTTTTCTGTTGTATACTATTTTTCGATTCCCACTTTGTTATATTTCTCTCTTATTACAATCCAGCAATTCCTATCGCTTAGTATTCTCGGGCACCAATTCACTCGACAAATCCCAAAATCAGAACACGGTTGAACAGGAAAGAGATATTCCAAATAACAAGGTTAGGTGGAAGTAAGAAGCACAGTAGGAAAAACGTTAGTATATTTATAGTTTTAACATGAGAAGATTTCTAGAGTATTCTCCATGTATCGACTAGCGCTGATTGGGCAAGAATTAGTCAATCATCGTGCACCAACGCAATCGTGCATTGAGCATGCTTTAATCCAATCTATGTCCCGCTAACACACTTTTAATAATGTTGGGAATTCGTAAAAATCTTCGCTTCTCTTGTGTTATGACCACCTGTTCCAGTCAGTCAGCTACTACGTAGGACCAGGCACATATATGTATCGGTCCAAGTTGCCACACCTCGTTAGCCTAGCAAGATGAACACCAGATTCATAGAAGAAGTTACTTCAATGGTTTATTTATTTATTTGAACATAAATACTGGTACAAAAGGGCACCAGATATATTTGCGCCACACAATAATAATGAGAATGTGAAGGGATAAAGAATTTAAGGTGAGTATAAGGAAAAAGGGAACAATAGCAAACAGAAATTAGTGTATGATAGGGAAATAATAATAACGCGGGAAGCAGTCGAGTTAGTAAATGTACAACCAGAAAGAATTCTTCCAATTAAAGAAGTGACGTCCATTTTTTATGAGGAAAGTAAAACGAAGTTACAGCAGGATTGCCACTGGCTCCTATTCTGAGCCATATCTGATAACGTCTCTAGTCACTGTGTTGGACCATCTCTTGAACCTCAGCCAGGGAGTCGTCAAGGACCAACAAAGCCAGTCCTGTACCGCTTTCTTTCACACCATGTTATACACTGACCACCTCTCCCATTTTTCCAACCAGTCCCAGCGTCGGCAAATAATGCACGACATGGAATTCTGTGGGACGACATTCGTAGAACTTGTCCAAGCCACCAAAGTCGATGTTTCAAGATAGTGATACCAAATGACTTATCGTCTCTGTGCCCGAACCTCTGCATTACTAACATGGTGTTGCCACTGGATGTCAGCAATTCTTCGGAGACAACGATGATCGAACACAGAGAGTCGTCTAACATCCTCAACTCGGAGAGGCCAGGTTTCACAAGCATAGAGCAAAACTGCTCTCACCGACGCGTTGTAGATCCGACCTTTTACAGCCAGACTAACATCACGAAGGCGCCAAAGATGGCCCGGATTGGCATAATCCGCTCTTGCTCTCACTATGCGTGCATTGATCTCATCACTCACGCCACTACCAGCACTTATGCAGCTACCTAGATACACGAACTTCTCGACTACTTCTATCTGCTTACCACCAGGGTGAGTACAGGATTAGAATCCTGCCAGTCTTTTAGAAGTACTTTGCACTTCGAGGGTGCAAAGCACATACCATACCTACGGACACTGATTGCCAACTGATTGAGTGCGGATTGCATAGCTTGGGCATTCTCTCACAGTAAGACAATATCATCCGCATACTCAAGGTCGAGAAGTCTTTCTCCAGGCAACAGATCTACACCGCCATTACTTACATTCATCAGGGTTGTTTCCAGAATGTCATCGATGGCAAAGTTGAAGAGGAATGGTGAGATTGGGCAACCCTGCCTAACCCCACTGCCTGAATGGAATAATGGGGAAAGGTGGTTGTATGCCCTCACTCTGACTGAGGTGTTTGTGTATAGGGCTTTTAGGATGTTAATAAACTTCTCAGGCACACCCTTCTTCAATAGACAATCCCAGAGAACAGTTCTGTCCAACGAATCGAAGGCATCCCTGATATCAAGGAACACCACGATTGTTGGCCTTTGATAAGTATGGCGGTGTTCTAACACTTGGCGGAGGGTGAAGATATGATCAATACATCCTCGACCAGAACGAAACCCAGCCTGCTCCTCGCGAGTCAATCCTTCTCGGGTTCTGAACAACCTACGAAGTATGACGGAAGCCAATAGCTCGGACGCAATCGGAAGTAGACTTATCCTTCGATAGTTGTTACAGGAACAACGTGAACCCTTTTTAAAGATAGGGACAACTATCGACTCATTCCATGACGTTGGTACACTCTCTAGTTCCCAGACCTTTGCAAACAACGTCGTCAGTCCCTTAGTCAGAAAGTCACCACCTTTAAAAAGAGCCGGAGGTAAGTTGTCTGGGCCCGGTGATTTGTAACGTTTCAAGAGTTGGAGTTCCTTGCGGACTTCCGCCTCACTTGGTGGATCAGTCGTCACCGGCCATGGAGGGCAGGACAGTCTGACCGATGTTGCCGGAGCAGCAGGCCAGTTGAACTGCCCTTCAAAGAATTCTGCCCATCGTCCAAGACGTCGATGGATGTTAGTGATCGGCGTTCCGTCATCCTCGCAGATTGTTTCGCTCACACCAGACTTCTTGCTGCCAGTGGCTCGGATGAGTTGGAAGAGCTTCCGGTAATTACCAGGTGCAGCTGCTGCTTCCAACTCACTGGCACGCTCCGACCACCAGGCTTCTCGGTCCTTACACAAGCTTTGTCCAATTTCATTACGTAACATCCTTCGTCTGTGGTCAAACTCACAGTCACCCGGAGTATACCGACCGTGTTCAACGATTTGTGTGGAGCCAGAAGAAATCCAGTGCTTATAAGTGGGACGTTTCGCGAACCCACAACAGACTGTACCCGCCATTTTCATGGCGTCATGCAATTGCAACCAATGCTCATCTATACTTTTCGGTGGAATGCTAGCTAGCCTAGAAGCTAGCTCGGTTCGGTACTTACTAGCAACAGAAGTTGCAGCCAGCTTGCTAACATCAATCCTTTGGTGACGGTCACTTCGTTGTCCACTGAAAAGTAATGTAAGATTGGCGCAGACCAGGGCATTATCGGAGTCCAGATAGGTACTCCAAAAGGAGCGGCAGTCTTGTACACAACCACACCAGCGCCAGCTAATCGCGAGATCTTGTTTGTTTTCTGCCTTTATCGTGTTGGGAGCCAGATGGGATGAGTTTACGAGAATTTATCAGTGCAATAGACTTAGTAGAAATCCTTTGGTTGGATGACTCAGAATAGAAGCCAGTGGCGGTCTTGCTGTATTTCTATATTTTCCTGTATACGAGAGGAACTTCCTTGTTCTAAATAGTTGATTGTTTTTTCCTATCTGAACTGTATCTTCCGCTATTGTTTCACTCACACATTTTTTTAGCCATCTGTTGTTATCTTATCATACTCGTCTTTCCCTCTTTCTATATCTTAACAATATCGTTATGTTATATATAATAGTGATAATAATAAATAATAACTATTATTATTATTATTATTATTATTATTATTATTATTATTATTTAAACACATAAACACACTGATACAAGGAGCACCAAATATTTATGCGTTACATAAATCATCTGATTTGTGTGAGGGCTGTGATACTGCCTGGTTGCTCAAACTGAAGCAGGTGGTTTCCTTAGGGGATCACTCTCCGAGCCTTTGATCTGAAGGTTTGATCCACAAGGCACTGAAGCAACTTTAGAAAACTCAGTCCCATAGAAGATGGTGACCAACAATAGGTTCGTATGCCATTTGTTCCCTCAGGATCCTGGAGCCCTTGTGCACCATTGGTTTGGAATGAGGGTTTTCCAACACCCCTTAGTGGATCATTCGTATCCACGATCCCCATTAAAGCGCTGGACATTCGCTTTTCGTCCTCTCAATTTCGCAAACAACACCCCCATTATGAGAAGCCAGTGTGTAGGACTTCCGTGGTAGTGGTTGTATGCACGTGGCTGTATGAGAGCATTTCGAGAGGGAGAGCTGACTTTCCTCACCCTCGGCCGTACCAGGGTCTCTCTCTCTCTCTCTCTCTCTCTCTATATATATATATATATATATATATATATATATATATATATATATATATATTACTGAGTTATGTATTTGTATCTAGTCTAATAGTTAAGATTTGAGCGTAGTAGTTAAGAAGGAATAGAGTGGATTAGTAAATATGCAGTTAGTTCCTTGGTTTTAAATATCAAGGCTCATTAAGTTACTTTCAAGATTTCAATCGTCTTGTATTTATTAATTTTAAATATTTTAATAAATAAATATTGTTAGATTACATTTATTTCTTAATAAAGATATAAACTGTCATCTTGTTTTAAATTTTCCGTGAAAATCCATCACCATCTTAGACCTGATTGGTACGTTTGTAAAGTATACTTTCATTTTTTATCCACACCAAAAGAATATACGGCCTTGTATTATGCATGAATTTGTAAAGGTCGTAGAGAAACCAATTTATCTTATTATTATTTATTTATTATTATATTTGTTGTTGTATTTTAACGTGTCACACTTTGAGCCGTTACCTTCATTCTCTTGAGATTATTCCTTCTCTTTCTGTTAAATATCATAAAATTAATATCTGACTTTCGGAATACGCAATCGTTGCTTCATAATTCGTTTGTAATGATTTGTCATCCTATTGTTTCTGTTATGGACAGGAATTGATCAGTCTTTTAGACTATGTGCATCCTTAGGGGATTGTCTTGATATTGCTGTCATTAATAAGCCTTTTTAAATATAGACAGATAATGGGTAGCCGTAGGAGTAGTAGAGTTCAAGACAAACGTCTCATCCTATTTGCGACTCATCAGCTGGATGTACTTATATCTTAGTGTTGACGTTCACTCCACTATTAACAACCGTTCATCTCTGCTTAAAAATTTTCACTTCCTATAATCTTTTATTCTGTTATATTCATATGTATATATTTTTCCTCAGCCTATGCGAGTAACTTATGCTAAAAAAGATTCGCAACAAATTATCTGTTTGAAAGGTGTCAGTGCTGAAGTTCAAAAGAGACGTGAAGAAGAACGCGAAAAACGTAAACGAAAGAAAATGGCACAACGTGCTGCAGCGGTAGCAGCGGCTTTACAAGCAGCTAATCAATCAGTAAATGGTCCAGTATGTTTTAATCATTATTATTGTTTTCGTTATTTGATCATAAAAATTATTTGACCAATTCAATATCAAATATATATATATATATATATATATATATATATATACAGTATAGTATAGTTGTGAAATCCTCTAAGCTAGTACTTAGTTTAATTAAATGCAAAGACTTCATTTTTATTCTGGACACTACATCATCGACATTCTATTCCATGTATAAAAGTGAACTATTTAGAGTGATTCCATAAGTGATAAATCAATTATTTTTTGTGTTAGTATTGTTTATAATTGATCTAGCCTTTCATATTTCATTGTCTTCATTTTTCGTTCTATTCAAGTTGACTGTTTTGTTTGATTGGTTTCTGGTCAGATTGTTTATCATCTAACATTTTCTTTCAAATGGAATAACTAAAGAGTTCACTTATTATAAATGAAATAGGCGTCAATGTTTTGTTATTCAGAAGGGTAGTGAAAGATTCATAAATAAAATCATATCACCCAATTTACTTATCATCACCAAAAATGTTTAACTGAGCTACGAGTTTTTCCTATCATATTGTGCATATCAGTGAAATACGCAGTTATGTTTTTTTGTCTTGATTGTATTCAGAATTATAATAGTTTAGTTGTATTGTAAATGCATCCGACTTCATCTATTATAATTCCTAGTCAATTCCAAATATATTACTTATAATGACGTTGTTGCGTAACAATTTCAGAGATAACTTGATGTTAAATGTCTAATACGAAGTACGTTTTGGGAAATATGTATATTTCATACAAATTATTTTAACAAATTATAAGGGTAATGTACAGAGTGTGTAGAATGATATACTGACTAATCGTGATATTGATTGGATTGACTTTATAATCGAATCATTCTGTATGCTGATTGACTTGGGGGATAGATCATTGAGTGGATTATTGACTCAGTGTAGGGATTCACGTCTAGCCTGAAGATACTCTGTGTTATGAGGGAGCGTAGAGAGCAGCGTGCTTAAAGAAAGCTGGAAAAGAGACGAAAAGTGAACCGACAACTCAGTAAGCATATATAATGCACTTACATTTAATCATAAAACCAGTCGATAATGACCAATAATAGCGTGTGAGCAGGACAATTGGACATCCACAACTCGAACTGCTATCAATGAGACCTCTAATGAGCTACACTCAGTTTATATCAGTCAGCCAGTCATACGCAAATTAGAACCTAACACATTTGCTTTGGTTGAAGTTGCCACACCACATTAGGACAACGAGATAAAATTATTTAAAGACATCATAGAGCAGTGGAGTAGTAACAGTATCAGTAGTAGTGTGGTAGATGCTACTTGTGTTGACAGATATAAGCAGTATGTAGCACCGATCGGAAGTGAAATGCATGTCTGCAGAAGATTGGAAGATTCGATTAACGAAAACAGAAAGTAATCGTAATGACAACGGAACTAAAAGAATCAAGAAGGATGTAAAGGACAACTGTTGGAAGATGTGCAAATTACGTATTTGATGTATGGTTTTCTTATCTTACGAGTAAACTCGGTAATTCTGCATCAAACAATTAATTGATCTTCTCCATCTGAGGTTTTGTTTACTACAGCAGTAGTAATAGTAGAAATTAGGTATAGAAAAAAGTAAACAGAAGGTATAAGAAGATTTTGGGACTGAGGTTTTAAACAGGGACGAAGAGCGATTTCACCAGCAACATTATGACAGCCGGTAGTTGTCAAAAACCACCTGAGTTTTATAATTTTATCCCGAGATTTCGTCAGACATCAAAGCACCAGGTTTGATGAGAATTCCAAGGTGAGTGAAGTTATCGACGTGCCCCTCCACTTCACTCACTATTACTAGTCCAAGTACTGAGGCAGAGCAATCCTGAAGCAGCATTTTGCATTTAATTGAAGAAAATCGCACTGAAAAAAATGCTTTCATTATTGCTTAAGTTAGTTAGATGACTGCACTTTGTCAATGTCTTCATTAAACAGGACTATATCATCTGCCAATTCTAAGTCATCATCAGTCAGTTTTTGTATCTATACGTTCAATACAATAAACAGAAAGGCACACACATGTATAAAAACGTATATGGATAAAAGTCAGTAATTAATTATATCCAAATAATTAACGGGATTAAAGATGTCATATATATACTTGTCAGGCTTTTTGCCTTTTCAGATAACAATAGGTATCTACGTAAGTATGCATAGTATGAGTCTGCTACAGTGTCATTAGCATAACTAAAAATGTAGGTAAGCTCATACATACACTAATAAAATGTTTATTTATTGATTAACAGCTTAACACTATGCATTTGGGGGCAGGCCGTACCAAATGCCCTGGTACGGCCGAGAGTGGGGCGAGTCCGCTCTCCCTCTCGAAATGCTCTCACATGACCACGCGTATATAGCCTCTACCAGGGAAGTCATACTCACTGCCTTCACGTGGCACAGGTGTTGCTTACGAAAATGAGAGGACGAAAAGCGAATGTCCGGCGCTTTAACCGGATTCCAAAACAATGGTGCACATGGGCTCCAGTATCCTGAGGGAACAAATGGCGTATGAACCAATCGTTGGTCACCGGCTACCATGTGACTGCATCTCCTCACGATGCTTCACTGCCTTGTGGATCAGACCTTTGGGTCGAAGGCTCGGTGTGTCCCCCTAAGAAACTACCTGCTTCGGTTTGGGCACCCGGACAGTATCACAGTCCTCACACATATCAAATGAGATCTGTGTGGCGCATATGTATTTGGTGCCTCCTTGTACCAATATCTATGTGTTAAAATAAAGTAAAATACTCTGTATGCTATAATTCAAATATAAAGCATAATCTAATAATTCATGTTATGAGATATGTTTGTTAGATAAAAGTGTATATATATATATGGTTAGAGTTTTATGAATTTGTTTAAACGCTTCAAAGTAAAATAATCAGGTATAGAAAGTTATCTATTTGTCTTAATTAAAAAATGGATTTTATAAAGTTTTAACAGCTATTTTGTTAGTCAGTTCAAACTTGTCATTATACTGAAACTATAGAAGAGGACATTGTATTAAGACTGAATAATCAGTCTTCTTATATTCATTGAATCGGCTTAGCAGTCTCATTTCCTTGTAATGGGTAGCAAGTGGCAGTTATTCCACAGTCATAGTAAACAGTTTTACCAGTAACAATTGTCAGGACTTAGTTCATGTGACAACAGCGGCATATTAATCTTGTCTACAAGCCATTACAGATGGTGATAAAAGTCTTTAACCTATCAGTGATCATTCGTTGTTGTTGATTTGAGCATGGCTGGGTAAACAATCGAATCTGGAAAAAAATCATTCGACTATTTCTGTTCGTTTAACTCCAAATATTATACTTCTTACGTCTGAATATTTCCATTCTTCGTTGTCTTTATTCTAGTTCCTTATTTGCCAATTATTTCCATTTGTATGTTTGAGGATCTCAATCTCTGATAATGATAAGTTATTATGCAAATATCTTGAAATTTCTAAAGAAACAAACGTCTTTAGTAAACTTGGTTTCTCTGCTTTTATTTATCTATTTGATTAGCATAAAGTGTGGTACAACTGTGCACCACAAATGGTTTGCGCCACAAAGTATTTATGTGTGGACTAAGACACTATTCTGACGATGAGATCGAAGCAGGTGATTTTCTTAGGGTCCTATTCCTCGAGCCTTTAACCCTGCATTTCCTCTACAAAACAGTGGCACAACATCATGTTATACATTTTCATGGTAGCTGGTAACCAAAATGAGTTCATACACCCCATTCCTGGAGCACTTGTACATAATCGTTCAACTTCCTTGGTTGAGCCTTCCGTATTCACTAGCCAGGTTGATTTAAGCGCCACTTTCCATCCTCCTAATTTTGTAGAAAATACCCGCGCCACAAGAACTCAGTTAGTAGGAACTTCCTGGCAGAACCTACAATCATGTGACCATACGTTAGCATTTTAGGAGAGAAAGCTAACACTCCGTGCTTCCTTACTTGATTAGATGTATGATGTGTTAATGACTTGGACCATAGTACTAATTCACGTATTCTAAAAAAACCGTTTTAATTTTTTCCCCCAATAAATATTTTAAAATACACTCCATCACTTTTGTCAAATCTCTTTTAGGCGGGTACCGGTGGAGATATCAATGCATTGTTAGATCAACCAAATCATATTTTATTTGTTAGCAATTTACCAGAAGAAACTACTGATGCTATGCTTACAATGTTATTTAGTCAATTCTCTGGATTTAAAGAGGCTAGACGTGCTGCTGGTGGTGTTGGTTTTGTTGAATATGATACTGAATCACAAGCTGCTGCTGCGCGATCTGCTTATGAAGGATTTAAACTGACACCGACTCATGCTATGCAAATTACATTTGCTAAGAAATAAATATCACTTTTATTTTTTCTTAACATTGTTCGTTAGTTAATTGCTATTATTGATATTATTATTGTTGTTATTCTGATGTTTACCGGCTAATACCGCGTATTGATGTGGGCGGTAGTTAGACATACATAACACATGTCTCGAGCACATCACTTGATGAAGTTTAATAATCATATCAACCGCTTTACTATCTTTCTTAAGTACTCTGTACATAACCTCAGGACTGCTGACTGGATTATACCGACAATTTACGAGGATTGTGTAACTAGAGGGTGATAATACCTAGCCTAATTTCAAATACCACAATTCTCCTTTCCTCCCGCTTATTACACACTGGTTAAGAAGATTAGGCTTACGGAGAAGTTTTATTTAAAAAACTACCACTTGCCTATCAAATAAGTTGAGAAATCGGCATAACAAATCAGCAACAAATCTTTGCAGTAAAAAAGTTTGAGAGCGAAATTTTCAGCAACATATTATGATGATATACTTTTCGAGTGTGAGGTTTACTGAAGTAGTGAGTCATTACTTGTGTACGTGTATGTGTATAAGTATTGGGTGATGTGTGTTCCGGTTGTTGTGAATCATGTTGTCGTTGGTGATGCAAAAGTAGTATTGCAGTTGGCGTCACTGTCCAATGGTGGTCGTGCTAGTGATTGTGTTTGTTTTGTTGCTGGTTTTTGTGTGCGATGTGTCAACTGTACGAACAGAGCACTGTTCACTGAACCAATCTTTCTTATTTTATATCTAAATGAGTATATTCCGTTAGCCTATTCCAACGAATGTCTTGAGTTTGTTTGTTGTTTAGCTCTGTTCATCTTCAACATGTTCCCTCATGTTCTTCTTCTGCTGTTCTTTTTCCTTCTAAACTTACTCCTATTCATTCAATACAGGTTGAACTTGTTCGTAGAGATTATGTTGCAAATGGTGGTTGAGAGACATTTTTAGCTTATGAGGATCCATATCAAGACACATTGATAGGTTTATGACGTTTAAGAAAGTGTTCAATGCAACACGTTATATTAGTGATGGTGATGATAATGATGTTCAAGGTAATGAAGATCCTTGTTGTTCGATTGTACGTGAATCACATGTATGTGGTAGTGCTGTTCCAGTGAGTTCCAGTAAGTTTAAGTGTAATTTAATTGTATATCGAATAGGAGATACTTTTATGTGTTGATAACAGTAATAATAATAATGATGGCATTCTAAAGTTAGGAATTTCTGTTAAATACCTTGTCAAGTCCACCGAAGTTGAGCATCTGGAGTTGGTAACAGTCACAAACTGTCATAGCTTCTCCTTAGATATATTGTTCTGCGAAAAAATTGTTCATGGTTTTTAACTCAGCAAGGACTGCAAAGTGTCAGTGCAGACAAATAGAAAACTGACCAATCAATGTGGTCGGACGAGTAGGTAATACATTAAGCAATCAATAACTGATTATTTAACAATTAATCAATGAAATAAACTAAAAGAATTGTGCAACTCACTTCTAGTTACTCATAAGTAATGTAGTTGTCATACGCAAAGCTCTCAACCCTAGTCTTTTACGAATTGTTCACATTCACAAACAAATCATGCACAAACTATACATTCGTACACTAGTCTTTCATTATTTTGACTCAGTTTACGATTGATAATCTCGGTTGATAGAAAGATCGCCTAATTTTTCAGTTTCATTCGAACTATCTTCATTTCCATAACACTCGACATTTTGGGGATTTAGTTTCGAGATTCTCAGGTTACCTTCCAGTGATCGAATTATCTCGTGTCAAGTGTAATGTGGTAGTATTTCGTTTGCCACTGTGATATGTAGACATTTATTTCTGCAAACGATTTGGTCTATAAGTCGATCACGCGAATTCGATCAGTGCTAAGGACTAGGACAAACATAACAATGGGCACTGCTACGTGACTAATCAATTGTCAATAACTCAGACCTACAGGACGTTATTCACTTCCTGAACAGCTGAAAATTTGGTCTGCTGATATTTTCTACCACTTCTCATACGACATAACATTGACAATTGATTCATTGTGTTAGATACATCCGGGTTATTTGTACATGATCTACTTTTAATGTATCACCAATATCGCCCATCTAATATATATTTATGCCTTATATAGAGGGGTACTCAGTTGAAATACAACTTGGCTCTTATTGATGTTCCATGTACTACTAACTAAGCTTGGAACCGGCAAGCCACTATCGAAATAAAGATGCATGCAGCATTTCAACAGACATGTTCCTAGCTAATCCAAGTGGCAAAACGTTCCGTTAGTCGTATGTCGGTAAATTGTTTACTGCTGTTATATTCAATTGGAAACACACAGTCACACCAGACATTCATAGTTATTATCGGCAACGTCCGTTTCACACACTCAACTCTCGTGTTTCTATGATAATTAGAAGTAATTGAATTATAGTATGAACTAAGAATCCCAGTGATAACGCAATTGAATCAAGAAGTACTACACAAACACTAACGAATGCACTGTATTTAAAATTCGAAATCAAACATTCGAGAATTACAAAGCAATCATTATTTCATTCAAACACCACATTCGCCACAGCTTATATTAGAGTCCAGGTGTCTGTAATTGATTGCACGTCTTCTTCCTCAAGTTCATACTGTGTCTGTCCAACAGTGTATTAGATAAAGACTCTGTATTATCTAGGATGCACTCATTAGTATTAGAATTAACAACTGAAATCGGAACAGACTCACTTGATTTCTGGGATTGTGAACAATCACCATGCCGGTTGAATACTGGAACTACTACCTAGGATATGAACCATAGACTATCCTCCCCCACGAAATAATGTCGGATCTTCATATCCGGCTTCATTTAAAACATCTTTCTCAATTTGACTAGAGTAAACATTGGAAGTAAATTTACGATAAGGACAAACAACAGTTGATATGGAATTATCTGAATTGTAATCAAACTCTAACTCATTTAATACTCGTGCTTCGCATCGAACAAGTTTCTCACAAGAAACAAATGCATCATGAGGACAAATAATATTTGATATGACATCAAGATTTGATTATTCTGAAATAGTTTCCTCAAATTTATTAAGAATGTAATTGCAGAGTAAAGGATCATTAGAAAAATCAGCATCAATCAAAACTACATCAGTTTTTTTATCATCATTAGATTCATCTGAAATATTCTCATCAGATTTATAAGAAATTTCATCAGAAATATGTGAATCATTAGGAAAAATCATATCTGGTAAAATAACATGAGAAATCTGAAATGTTGATTCATTAGAAATTGTTTTCTCGCAAGAATCTTGAGTTTCATTTAACTCTGAACTGCTATATGACTCTAAACTGTCTTTTGAAATCGTCGATAAAGATAAATGATCATTATAAATATTCAGATTAATAGAATCAGAATCACAAGACTTAATATTAGTTGCAGCAAGATGAACAGTAGTATTACAAACTGACTGAATATGTCCGACATCACCACATTTAAAGCACTTACAATTACGAAATTTACATGAATTAAAAGGGTGGAACTTGCCACAAGAAAAACATTGACTAAACTTGTGCCCATCTTTGCGAACTGCACAACCTTGAGTATGCACTGGGATGGGGTGACGTAATGTAGTAGAATTTTTTATCTTCTCATGAATTATTTTACGAAATCTCCCTTTATCGCATTCGAAATTAGTATATTTTGCATAGTCTAGAAGTAGTTCCTTGAGAGTTGTATAAGGAAGAGAAATGGGCTTTTCCGATGAAGCCAAAATTTTTAATAAGCCATATGCTTCTTTTCCAATGAATGTGAGAAAATGTGCCACAATATTAATATCCTCATCATCTTTCTTGGTCATGCTCCAGATTTCAAACCTTTCCAAATAGTCTAAAAGCTTAAGAAGTTGAATGAATATCTAACTGTTCCATCGCAGGCCCCATCGCGACGCCAATATGATAATTAGGAGTAATTGAATTATAGTATGAACTAAGAATCCTAGAGATAACGCAATTGAATCAAGAAGTACTACACAAACACTAACGAATGTACTGTATTTAGAATTCGAAACCAAACAATCAACAAGTACAAAGTAATCATTAGTTCATTCAAACACCACAGTTTCATTACATTTTCATGTAGACATTTTTATAGGACCAGGTCTGTGATGCTCGTTAGGTGAAGTCGTCTGCATTTTATCCGCAATAGAGGTCACATCATGTTATCAGGGCGTTAGTAGGACGGCTTGTATGTTTACAACTAATTGGACAAAATGATGCCTAACTGACAGATATACTGGATAATTGGAGTTAAGATGAATAGCTTTTGGATACGTACTATGAGATGTAACCTACAGCCACTTTGCCAACACCACTAACTACTGAATAATACGATAATTAACTATGATGACTAAAAGCATTCAAGTTGACTTGCTAACTAAGAATTCACAGTATAGTGTAATTTAAGGCACGTAAATCTAGATGAGCACAGCGTAAGGTATTACATTTGCAATTCGCGATCAGCATGCGATCAAGTACAAAGGAATAGTATAAATATCACATTAATCCGTAGTACTACAAACAACATAACAAACGTCGTTGAATTGAGAGTTTATTCATAAAAGACAATGTATATTTACGTCTTCTTTTCCTGTTGAGACAGTTCTCAGAACCTGTTGCTTCACCGAATAAGTTGATAAGAACAATCTTATAGTAAGGAATGCTACTTTTGAAATTGCGTTACTCTGTATTCATAAACGACACACAATATAATGGGGAGTCGAACAGAATTACATACCATGTGCTTTGGCAACACTCTCCTCCAGTGTATTTATAGAAGCTCAGAGAAAAGCAACAAACACCGGAATCAAGTATGCTTAAGTAAAGTGTAGAAAACCTATCTGCACAGCAGTTATCGTTTGTGTATGCATGTACGAAACTCTTAAATTTGACGGTACTCAATTTTAATTGTTTTCCTTTAGACTGTACACAACTGAGTGACGTCAGATGTCACC